TTAGAATTAGAACAATTTATGATAGAAGAATAGGATAAAATTTCAAATAAGGTTTTAAATAATTTTATAGATTCAATAAAAGAGAGATGTAAATTAATAATTGAAAATAATGGGAAAAGAATTAATTATTAATTATATATCAATAAAATCTCTAGATTTTTAGCTTTATTTTGATATGTTTTTTATTAATTTTTATACAGTAGTTTTTGAGTAATAAATAAATAAAAAATTCCAAAATTTTTTGTACCATACTATATATACAGTATATTAAATAAATTTGTTTATATATATTTTTTAATATAAATATAAATTTTTGTTTTGTTTTATTGGTTATTTATTGAGTTATAAATTAAAATACAAATTATAAATAAAATCAAAAGTTTATTATAAAAAATTTTTTAAAAAATTAAATATAAAAAAAAACAAAAAATTTTGAGTTTATAAAAAAATTATAAAATACTTATTATTATATTTAATAAATATTATTAAAATTAATTTATTTTTTTATTAAATAAACTTGTTTTTTTTTATATTTTTAAATATATTAATATAAATTTTTATCTTTGTTTATCAATTAATTATTTGAAATATATAAAAAATATTAATTAAAAAAACAAGTTTTTTAGTTTCATATTATATATTTAATATAAAATCTCAAAGATATAATTTTTTAATAAATTTATTTTAAAATTTAATTTTAACTAAAAAAAAATTATTTGATTAATAAAAAAATTATAAAAAAATTTTATAATGTATAGATTTTCAAAAAATTTTAATTAATTCATTTAATTAAAATCAATTGATCAACTTAAGATTTATTAATGGTTATTTATTAATAATTTTTGTTTTTATTTACAAATTGATAAATTAAAATCATTATAATTAATTATTTTCTTGGTTATTATAATTTAATTAAATAAATATCTTTAAAACATTTTTTATTTTGATATAACTATTAATTTTAATAAATTTTAATAATATATTGACAAAGATATATTAGTAAATTTGTCTTCTATATTTTTATTAATACATAATTTAATTTAATTTTTATTTTATCAATTATTTATTGAATTATAAATGAAAATACATACTTCTTAAACGACTGTATATCAAAATTTAAAATTCATTTTCAATTTAATAAATTTTATAATGCTTTACTTTATTTTAAACATTTATTAAATTATTAACAATATATTCAATAAATAATTTTCTAAGGTTTATGATTTTATAAAATATTTTATGATATTTAATTAATTTGATGCCTCTAAATACAAAATATTACTAGTAATTGTCTATTCGAATGTAAAGTAAACAGCGTATGTTTTGCAATTTAACCGGTCACGCAAAATATTTTGTTTCTATTTTTATAGCTTGTCCGCTTATGGTAAAAAAATGTGGTTGTTATTACGTGTACTGTACATGCGCCAGAAGCGGTTAAAAATAACCAAGTATGTGAATACGTATCCCCACCATTGAAAATACCAATAAAGGAAATATACTGTACTGTATATGTATGCATGTACGTACGTATGTTTCGTGTCAAGTAAAAAGTTTCAACTAATATAAAGAATAAAGCACAATTGGTGATACAATACACATTCTAGAAAAAAATTTTATTACTTGAAGTTATCAATGTTCGACCAAAAGGAACAAAGTGTAACCAACTTCTGATTTTCATATGACAATATAATAAAAATATATTACAATTATAGTCACAGTGCAAGTATCGCGATTACTATCATTTTATTATACAAAAACCAGCGATAATTAACAATACAGACAAAAGATCGAACAAATATATATATATATGTATTCTAAGTATATATTCTAGGTTTTAAAAATACAGAATCAAACTGCAAAAGTTCGTTGTAAAATACAGATTCGAGAAGGGTTGATCAATCTTATTAAAGGGATGAGTTTTTCGAGGCATATTTATGTCATATAATTTGCGGTTATTAAAGTATTTGAATAAGCGTAAATGTTGGTTGTTTTTAAATGTACCATGCATAAAACTTATATTTTACATGTAAGGGTTTCGGCAGTTATCATTATAAATATTGTCCCTGTCCATCCATCTTCTAGTTTTCCTTGTTATTGTTGATAATGGCACGAATGTCCATGCGATTAACTTTATGTAGTATTTCTTCGCTTTCTTGTTGATTGTTACTGATAACACTATCTCCAAATAATTTGGCTCCCAATTTATTAGAAAAGGAAACCAATTCATCGATATCCATTCTCGAAAAATCCACATCAGACCGAAGGATCGTGAACGGTGCAAAAAAGGATTTCCTGTTCTCAGAATTTTCAGTAGTCGTGACTTTAGTATTTTTGCAAAGATTTTTAACCAAATCTTCTATACGATTAATCCTTGCACTCAAACATTCAATGTATTCATTACTCAGAGTGCTGACGTTGCAATGACAATTGTGGGGTTTCAGCCGATTACAAGGGGTGGCAGGGGCATAAGGATGAGTTGAAGGCCGTCGAGAACGTAATCTTCTTCCGATTGTACTAATTTTTTCTTCCTCAATACCATGTACTCTACGAATTAAATTTCGAGTGGCGGTGGCTGGTGACTCGTATTTAGATTGTTCATCTTCGAAAACGATTTTTTGATACATTTTGTAATAATCGACACAAAAACTAAAAATTTAATTGATGATTTTTTATTGTTATTGTTTTCTTGTTTGAAACTTTTGATTTTCTTGGAAGTTGGCTTGTAAGTGTGGCTTTAAATATCAAAATAAGTCGGCACGAAAATTAGCCCATCCCTAAGTCACAGGGCTTAATCGACAACCAAAAATCCAGAGAAAGAAAATTTCAGCCAATCAATAAATTTCCGATGCTTACATCTTTAGGGTATTTGTGTAATTATGGCTTGACAATGCAGCCTCTCGGTATTTTTTTAGCCAAGCATATTTTAAAATTCCGTCAAAATATAATTTAAAATGTGTTACTGTTCTGCATAGAAAATTTGATTTTCGATTTGTTTGTCATACGGCATGAATAAAATGCCACTATAAATAGAAATACTTTTTTTTGGTCAGATGGTTCATGTGGCTTAACCAGACTCGCACCAATTTAATCTTGATCTCTTTAATGTCTTCGGGAGTTTCATCTACCGATACCACATTCGCAATAAATTTTGTGGCTCGTGTTTGAAACGTGATGTAATTTTAATTAGCAAATGCATCCCAATATGGACAGCGCCTTTGTTAAGAGAATCTTTAGAATTTCCATGATAAACGATGTGCTCCTAATTGTATTAAAAATGTTGTTGTAAACTGAATTAATATAACAAAATTAGTTTATCATGTGGGGCTCGCCACTGAACAAATCAGTCCCCTCCTGCTAGGTAACGTCGCGGCGGGGGGCTCAGATATTTTCTATTGGCAATTTATAAATGGTTGATTAAAAATTTAAAAATTGCAAGGACAATGAAAAATCCCAAATCTGTATTTACCGAATGGTGCAAAAAAAAAAAAAAATTGAGAGAGAGAATCGTATGTTATATGTTTATTTTACAACTTAATGAATGATTAATAAAAATTCATAAAGATTCATGAATACATGGTCGAATACCTTATAAACAACTTTACTTGATAGCGTATTAATCAACATATTAATGTTTTTTTTAAAAACAATAATTTATTTTTATAATAAAATACTTAGGACCTAAGTTTTTTCATTTTTACACTTATATACAGTATATCATATATCTAATATTATTTTATAATATATACAGTGGTGGTAAAAAATTGTATTATGAAAATTTTTTTATTAAATTAATATTAACGTTAATTAAAAATAAATTTATTGGTATTTTAAAATGATAATAATCTTTTTTTTTAATGTTAATAGAATTACGTATATATGATTTTATTTAATATTAATAGAATTACGTATATATGATTTTATTTAATATTAATAGAATTACGTATATATGATTTTATTTAATTTTTTGATATTATTAATTTTTTTTTCAAGTTCAAATTTTAAGAAATCAATAAATTAAAAACTTTATTTAATTATTTAAATAAAAACAATGTAAAAGATTTTTTATACTGTAACTCTATAAAATTATAAATTAAAAAGAAAATAATTTTTTTAAAATTTTTTTATAAGATAATAATTATAAATTTTATTTAAAAATATCAAATAACATTTTAACTATACCGTATATAAATATTTTGATACAACAATAATTTTAAGTATTTAAGATATTAATTAAAAAATATAATATATACATAATTTCATTAATTGAAATTTTTTAAAATTTAAATCAAAAACAATATAACTTAATAACTAACGAAAAAAAATTTTTTTTTATAAATATATAGTATTTATAAAAATAACTTATTTTTTTAATTAAAATTTTACAATATTATAAATTAATTATCAATATAATTAAAAATTTTTTATTTAATATTGATAAATATATCTAAAGTTTCTATCTTATAATAAATTTATTATTTAAAATATTTTTAGAAACAAAAACAATAACAACTATTTTATAATTTTTTTTAATATGATAATAAAAAAAGTTTAAAAAAATTATTTGTACTTTTATAAAATTGTAAAAATTTTCTATGAATTTTTTTTTCAAATATTTATCAAAATTTCAAATATATATATAGACCTTGTAATATTGGTGAACTTGGTAAAAAATTAAATATAAAATTAATAAAATTAAATAAAATCATATGTAATTCCATTATTATTAAAAAAACATTATTATTTTAAAGTACCAATAAATTTATTTAACAAAAAAATTTTTTATAATATAATTATTTACAAATGAAAAAAATTGTCAGTTTTCATTGTCAGCGCTGTAAATTATTTACTATAAATTATAAATTTTCTAATTTTATATAAGTTAAAATAAACAATCCAATAAATTTGAAAACAACGAATCTCTAATATCTTTTTTTTAAAAAAAAATAAATCAAAAATCATTAGATTTATTCAATATATAAATTTATTATATAAACAACGTTTTTAATGAAGTTAACTTTCAAATTAGTTAATTGATTTTGTCCATCTTTTAAATATGTTAAATAAGAAAAAAAATTGTTATCATTTCTATTATTTTTATATTCTTTACAATAATTTGTTTTCCACGATTTGTTCATAATTCAAATCTCACGCTTGATTGTGTAAGTGCAAAAAAAATATCTAATGACATGCTTTACACATTGTTCCACGACTTGTTCATGGGAGAACGTACAACATCAGGTTTTGGGCTAGAATTCTTTTATTTAAAAAATTTATTACGCCGTCTTTTTTTATTGGTTCTCGTGTAGATTACTTTAAATAACTTGTATTAATTCGGAAATTTTATGAAGAATCGGTACAACAATAATATCGCTACACTCATACTTTACAGTATTTGACAACCACCACCTCCTCCAGACCCACGTTGCCTTAATAACAAAGCTTCTCGTCTTGCTGCAGATTCTTTTTCTTGTTCATAAATTCTTTGCATAATTTTTTCTCTTTCAGCTGCGGCTTCTCGTTCTCGTTCCATCATTCGTTGCATATGTTTTTCTCTTTCAACTGCTACCACTTTCTGTTGTTCTACCATTTGCCTTTGCTGATCTAACAGCTGCTTTTTCAGTTCCTCATTTTGGGATTTTTGATTCTCAATGTTTTTCGCCATGTCATTCATTTTACGCTCTAACTTCTCGGCCTGTTGTTTCCCCTCTAGTGATCCTTGTTTAATTGCAGTCTCTAGCGAGATCACTCGTTCTTGAGCTTTAATACTTTCTTTTTGAGCTTCTTCCAACCTACGTAATGCATTCGCTTGTTCTTCTTTTAAGGTACCTAATTCAGTGAGAATTTCTAAAGCATGGCTATAGTTATCATCCAGAAATTCAGTAATTGCGGCACCGGCTTCAGGTGAAGCCATCATCTGATTTTGGTAATCATTTCTAAAGGCTTCTTCGGCCGCATCAAATTCGGCTTTATCCTTAGGGTAAATTATACTTTACAATTAGTGGTACTAATAATAACAACAAAAGTTCATATTTTATATTTACCTTAAATAAATTTTCTTTGTTTAATCTACATTTGATGTGGGTTTTCCAGAGATTTTCCGCTAGTTCATGGTTATAGGCATGAAGTGCTTCAGAATTTATCTTGACATACTTCTCTTTTACTTTTTGAATTTGAACGTTAAAACCATCGATGAAATCAATGACTTGTTGGGATGAACCGATGATCATATTATGAAATTCCTCCTGTGCCTTATTATAATAATTATTATGGATGTCATCAAATTCATCCCATAATATTGGTACGCGTCCTCTTATTTCTTCGTTCATTCCTGACTCGTAAATTTCAATGCATTTATCGGTTGCTTTGTGAGACATATATTGAATGACCGTTTCGTATTCCGATGGAATAGACAACTGTTCAGAATTCTCGGGATCGTTCATTTTTTCGACACAATCCACCAGGAATTTACCAAATGACATCCCAGTCATGGTAGATGAACCGATATATTTAGGGTTGAGGTTAGAGTAAATCGATCGAACAACGGTTACCACTATGTCGACAAATTCTTTGTCTAAATTCTCAGTTGCAACATTCTCCATGTCTCTTAATTGGGAACGATTGCACCCAGGATGCTATTTTTAATTGATCGCAAGTCTTTTAGGTCAAGTGTCAACTGTACAGTGGATAACAATGACATTCATTAACTTACTGGTAATCTGTTTGTTTTATGGAAAGGGTAAATAGTTAATGTGAATAATAGTTAGCATCATCAACTCTTTGCGGATTTTAATTAAGTAGCTAGTTACCCAAAGACGTTAAAGTCGTGAAAATAATTCTTAATCGATTTTGCGACTGTATTAAGAAGAAAAATTGTAAATAAAGTATCATGTATGTTGGTATCCAAAACGGAGTACGGTATCTGGGAAGATAATTACTTTCTTCATTGACATTATTTAACTTTTCAATAAAGTATTTTCGGAAATCATCAGGTTCCTCCAATTGAAAATCCCTTAGCAAAACAACCAATCTTGGTAAAAAATCGTAGCCAGTTGGTGGTTGAATGAATTTAGTCAAGTCTGTCATTAGATAAAGTTTTCCGATATCGTCTCGTCCAACAATCCCGCTTATATTATAAATAAAAGTGGACGAGACAATTAGGCAGAGGATGAAAAGTTTGACGGCCCAAGCTTGTTCCTGATTAGGATCATCGATGCCTTCACAGTCGAGCACTATAACGCGTTTTCCTTCGTAGATAAAGGGGCTATCCCACATATATATGCCCCGAGTGCATCCTTCGACCTTGGAGCCGAGTTCAAATCCATCGTGACGTCCGTGAAGTACATTAGCAAACCAAGATTTACCACGCCGATAAGATCCCACTTTAAATGAATGTACAGTATTTTGTAAATAGTAAATACGCATACAAGTAAAATTTTTTTGCAATGATGAACGACACTCACCAACCGCTATGATGGCCACGGGCTCACGAATATTATTAATTATTCTAAGCGCGGCATCATTGATTACGATTTTCCCAAAACTTTCATCCTCGGAACTTACATATTCTAATAGTTGAATGGGATTTCCGGGACGGCCAGGAATTCCGTTTCCAAACTTATTTCCTTCGGTGGAATCTAGAGACATGATGTCGTGTGGTTTTTAATTTTTAAGAAAGTTTTTTTTTCATCGAATTTATATGCAATCATTTTTAAAGACATTTTCCCACGTACGACATCAAAGGTCAAAAAAGGGATATAACGGTACGTATGTAGGTACGTAATCATGCCATTGTTTCTAAAAATGTATAATAAAATATTCTAATATTTAACAAAAATTTTCGGAAATTTGAAAATCGATCTCAGGGTTTTAAATTAATATTACGGTATGATAATCTTTTAAATTAACATTTAAGAGTATTTTGTTATTTAATATTATATTATCAATTACTGTTACGCACGATTCATTTACGTATTTTAAATTTTTTTTTTTTTTTTTTTTAAACAATATTCGATAGATCAGTGATATAGTATTTGGTCATCAAAATTACAGTATTATTAAAATCAATCAATTAAACTTTTACATTCGTCAAAATCATAATGCCAATATAAGAATTAACAGAAATAATAGTTTATTGTTTCGACCAAATTCCTCGTTCGGGTTATTTATAATTGGCAAGTTTTATTGTGTACTTCCGATGGGAACTTCTTCCTACGTTGTTGATACTGTATTGTTGATGATTCGCGCGTACAATAGTGATATGGTTTAATTTGATAAGGTTTATATGTACAAAATTAACAAACCACACGTTGATAACTGTGTAAATCTGAAATTCGAGGTTCTAACTGATTATCTTTCGTTTCTTTCATATTGTTCTTATCGATCGAATAACCTTCCTCTTTTTCATTAACAGCCTGTATACTAATATTGTCTTTATCGTTATTTTCTTTTGATAATTTAACTTCCTGCTCACTAATATTCCCTTTATCCCCGTCTATTTTTTCTTGCGAGTATCCGCCATTAAAATTATTGCTCGTTGCCCATTTGACCATTTCATAACCTTCTTTGGCAAAGAATATACTGAATAGCAGAGCGGCTGCAGAATCAATCCACCAAGCTCTTTGCCAGATCATATAAAACAAACTACTACAAAAAAGTACTCCCGTTATTTTAATACATGCTAACGAACATTGCGCTTCCGATGCCATCGTCGAAGAATCCAACTCAACTGCCAAATATCTCTTAACACCATACACGAATAACATAAATACAATAGACACAATAGAAATTACAAGACCTGCTATTGTATTCTCGGGATGACTCTTCTGGCTCAAAGAGATAATTGCATGTAAAAATGTTCCTGCAGCCAATGTAAGAAATAGAAATCCGATCCCGATAGTTGCTTTGCGCTCTTTCCCAACAAAAACTTCTTTATTAAACTCTGCAGGATCTTTTCGAAATTCCGAAAGAAAACGCCACAAAACAAGTGATGATGAAGTCATCTCGACAAATGATCCAATCCCAAATATAACGAGACTGACCGAATTTGATTGGCTACCGAGAAACATTGATAATACCCCTTCGACTATATTTGACAGGATAGTTATGACGCTTATAAGGATGGCGAGATTAACGAGTTGTCGACGAGATGGTGTATCAGATAAGACCATGACGATGGTGATGTCAGTTTGTTCTCCAAAAGGTGATAATAATGATGCTGCGATGCGAGCAAGGGATATTTAATTATGGATGAGTGAATACTTCTTATTTATTGTTTGTAAGATAACACTCGGTTGCAAATTATGTTTTATATGATCCTAAAAGGTCACCATCATCTAAATTGCTTCTGATATCAGTGATCTTGCGAAGTGGATGATTGCATACAACCCTCGGATTGGTAATTCACAATGTAAAGTTACTTACGCGTAAACTTAGATGACCACACATTATCAAGGAAAATTAGGAAAATTGAGATATCAGAAAGCGAGCCGAAAGCATTAAGAATGCAAGAAAGAATTTGTTGATTTCCTTTTCATTATGCTTTAAGAAATTTTTCACTCATGTTTATTGGATGAAAGTATGGTGAAAGTCCAAGCCAAATTATGTCTTTTAAAACGCTTGTTTATTTTTTGTTTCCTTAAAAAATTATTATAATAATAAATTTAGACAAATTAATGTTTTATTATTTATTTTTTTAAAAAAATATTTTGTCGCACCAGCCACCACTTCAAATGTATCATATTATGGTTTGTTTGATTAGTCACCAATTTGTGGTGGCTTCTTTTTCCAAGCCGATGGCTTAATTTGTTTTTTCAAGTCTCTGAATCATTCTTTACACGAAGATATCTTCTATATTTGACTTACTGTAAATATGACGCAATACTTTTCAAATTACCCGTGGAGAAACTGGAACAAATGAAAGAGATACGACATTTTAGATGAACTTTGTTCTTCCAAGATCCAATTTATCATACCATCTTTTTCCGAACTATTCATCTGTCGCGTGCTTCCAGCGTTCCCTCATCCTTTGCATTTGTTTTCGTCATCTGCTTCGCCACCGTTGTAACGTTCTATAATAATCTATCGTTTATTGTTTCATTGTCCCCTTGTCCTCGCGTTTAGCCTCTGCCCAGTTGCTGAATTTAATCCATTCGTTTCTGATCGAACGGCTTACCACCTGACACACGAATAACAGGTCACTTATTCGAATAAAGGGTAATTCGCAATGATTTTGCAGAGGCATATATAAAGACATCACAATATCATACTTGAATAATAATCTTTTTCTAAAATAAATCTTAGACATAAACAATAATTAAATATATTATGTTATAATTTTAATATAAAATACATATTTGTTATACAGTAAATAAAAGGTTTTTTTGTATAAATAACAAAATAATGAGAATTAAAAAATAGATCGAAAAGATGTCATATCTTAATGTAATCGTATGAAATAAGCAATTATAATTTTGCGTTTTTTTTTTTTTTTAAAAAAAAAAAAGTAAAACCATTTCTTAATAAACTGTATGATGATTAGAAATTTTAACAATTTTATCTATTTAATTAATCAACTCATATAAAGCTCATTTTTTTCTATTATTTTAAATATTATTATTAAACTTAATTTTTTAATCGATTCCTTTAAGATTCTTCTTAATTTAAAAAAATCATGATTTTATAATGACGTGTTTATTTTTTAAAATAAATTTAACTCTTAAAATAACATTATAATTAACTTTGTAAAAATCCAATTTTTTATAAAATTGTAATATTCATTCAAGTTTTAGAAAAATTTTAATAATTTATTAATTGATTTCTTAGCTATAGATAAAAATAAAAAAATTCAACTTTTTTTCAAAAACAAATCTCTCACATCATACTGCCTATAAAAACCATTTTTAATTTTAGTTTACACTTTTGAATCAATTGTAAATTAATCATTAGCATGTTATTTATTAGTATTATTATTTTTATTATTTTTATTATTTTTATTATTTGATCGTTAAGAAATGTGAATGATGATTTATCCAATAGTACGAAAACATAAGCAAGTATTTGTTACCATGATATATGGGTAATTCTTTTTGAAGGCGGACAGGGATTTTTCTGACTTTATAATTGTACTCCTAGAATTTATATTGTATATGTATTGTTCAAAAAATAGGGATCAAAAAATCGTATATAACATTTTTGTCGTTTTCAAAAAGAATCAGTCATATTTATTGGTGATCAATACGGTGATTATATAAAATTATGTTAATTAATAAATTTTTTTTTTTGCAAGAACGTCATTGCATATTATTGTTTCCTAACACAGAACAATAACATAACGGGACGATAAGTATCAACATTTTTCGAATTTCTATGAATCATGAAATGGAAATTCACTGATTACGCAAAATTTTGCTAGTTTATTATCATCTATAATTACATCATCTTTTTTTCTATACAAAGGGATTAAAATGAAATTTAACAAAACTGTTTGGAAACAATGGCATTAATAACTCTGTGATCCATCCTTTTTTAATCATATCATTCCGACGAACTTTGTATTGTGCGTGGGAGAAATTCCTAATTAAGCACCTATTAATTCTTGTTTTTTTGACAATATACAATATCCAGTAGTCATTTCTATTGTAAAAAAAATACCTTTGCATAAGTTCGTGAGCCTATAAATTTGACGCAAAAATCTTTCAAAATCAACAATCATGTCTTCATCCAAACGTGCATCGTCAAAAAAAAACTCACCCCCTGCGTCTAGTTCAAATTCAGACAAAGGAAATAAATTTGGAGACGGGGTAGTTTTTCGTTCGGGTGCACCCATTCAATTATTGGAGTATGTAAATTCAGAAGAAGATGGTTTTGGAAAAATTGTGATTAATAATGCCGCGCTCAAAATACTCGATAATATTAAAGAACCTGTAGCCATTATGGCTGTCGGTAGGTATATAATTAATATTCAATCTATTTTCATAAAAGCAATTAACATTTATAAAATTTTGTTTTTAAGTGGGATCCTATCGGCGTGGTAAATCTTGGTTTGCCAATGTACTTCACGGACGTCACGATGGATTTGAACTCGGCTCCAAGGTCGAAGGATGCACCCGGGGCATATATATGTGGGATACTCCCTTTTCTCACGAAGGAAAGCGTGTTATAGTGCTCGATTGCGAAGGTATCGATGATCCTAAGCAGGATCAGGATTGGGCTGTTAAACTTTTTATCCTCTGTTTGGTTATCTCGTCTACTTTTATTTATAACGTAAACGGAATTCTTGGTCGCGACGATATCGGAAAACTTTATCTGATGACTGATTTAAGTAAATTCATTCAACCACCGAGTGACAGTGAATTCTTGCCAAGATTAGTTATTTTATTGAGAGATTTTCAGTTAGAGGAACCCGATGATTTTCGAGAATACTTGATTGATAAGTTGAATAATGTTAATGAAGAAAGTAACTATCTTAGTAATTTCAAATTCTATCTTGAATATGGTGTCAATAATATATATATTAATTAATTCATGATGCTTCGTACATATAGTTGCTAAAGCAATTATGAATTATTTCCAGGATTTTAATGTATTCGGGTACGTGATTCGTTATTTATTTATAATCTGCAGGCTATGTTAATTATCTTGATCTAATACCTATTCTTTATAAAATAAAAGCCTACCGGTAAGCTAAAATTTATCATATACGTATAAATAAATTCTAATTTACTCGACGATAACTAACAGCCAATCGGTATAATAGCACCCCGGATGTAATCGTACTCAGTTAAGAAACTTGGAAAATGTTATAACCGAAGATTTGGACGAAGAGTTTGTCGATATAGTAACGACTGTTGTCAAAACCATCTACTCTAACCTTAATCCAAAATATATTGGTTCATCCACCATGTCTGGAATATCGTTCGGTAAATTCCTAGTAGATTGTGTCGAGAAAATGAACGATCCCGATAATTCTCAGCAACTATCTATCCCATCTGAATATGAAACGGTCATTCAATACATGGCAGAAAGGGCCACAAGTAAAAGTCTTGAAATATATGAGTCAGAAATGAACGAAGAAATAAGAGAAGATCTCCTACCTATGTTATGGGATCAATTCGATGACATCCATAATAAATGCTTTAATGATGCTCAAGATGAATTTTATAATATGGTTATTGGATCATCTCAACAAATCGTTGAATTCGTTGAGAATTTAAACATTCAAGTTCGCAAAGTACGAGAAAAATATGTCAAGAAAAATTCAGAAGTCCTTTATGATTATAACCATAAATTGGCGAGTGACCTTTGGAAGACACATATCAAGTGTAGATTAAACAAAGAAAATCTGTTCGAGGTACACAAATTAATCTATTTATCCGTTACTCGTTTCCTCCAATTATAGGTTCTAATTGCAATATAATAATTTATTTATTATAAGGGTAAAGACGAATTTGATGCGGCGGAGGAAACCTTCAAAAATGAATATCAACACCATATGAAGATTTCCCCCGAAGCTGGAACCGCAATCACTGATTTTCTTGATAATAACTATAATCAGGCTTTAGAAATGCTTACACAGTTAGGAGCTTTGAAAGCAGAACAAGCTAATGCCTTACGTGAGCTAGAAATGGCCCAAAAAGAAAACATCAGAGCTCAAGAAAGAGTGTCAAAACTAGAATCTACAATTAGACAAAGCACACTTGAAGGAAAACAACAAACCGAAAGGTTAGAACAGAAAATGAACGAGATGATGAAAAATGCAGAAAATCAAAGGGTCCAAAATGATGAATTGCGAAAACAGATAATAGAGCAACAAGAAAAAATGGCGGAACAGCAGAGGTTGGCTGCACAGGAGCAGGCCAATGCCTTCCATGAATTAGAAGAAGCCCAGAAGATGAATCTAAAGTCTCAAGAAATGGTAGCGTCGTTAGAAGCAACAATTAGGCAAAATGTACTGGAATCAAGACAACAAGCTGAAAGATTGGAACAACAAATGAATGATATGGCAAGAGATGCAGAAAATCAAAAGGACGAATTAAGGAAACAGTTATCAGAGCAACAGCAACAAATTGTAGAACAGCAAAGATTGGCTAAGGCGGAAACAGAAGCAAACATGCAATTACTTGCGAATCAACAGAGAATGGCAGCAGAAGAAAGAGCAAAGTTCATGGATACCATAAACAGTCAGGGGGAACGGTTCGCGGCGGAAAGGGAAAGTTATGTGGATAGAATAAGTGAAGTGGAACGCAAGCTTGATGAAGATCGTGGAGGTTGTGTGATATCGTAATGCTGTGCTGTACTGTATTTATTAAATGAGTTCAGTTAGGAATTATCACATTATTAGTATATTAAAGTTTGACCCTTCAATATTGGTGGACATCTAAATTAGAATAATATTGTAATTAACTTAATTACGTATGATCCTGCCGATATACTAATAAAAAGCACCAAGTTTCACACATTTACGTACTTATAAATGTTAATCGCGTTAAATATTTATTTGGAGCCATAGAAGTGAGCAAAATCGTAATTTCTAATTCTTAATATAGTATCAGAATACAGTATGTTTTTTACGCATGTACCTGTTTTTTACCTACCATTGATTTCAGATATTGGGTTTTTATCAACCCCGTTTCGAATACTTATAGCTTTCTTATCATATTATTGGAAAGTTTGTACAATTAAGAGAACGATACCTTAGTAGATTCAAAATAAAATATGCACATATTGTTAACTACTTTGATTAGGTATTCTAGAAGTACAAATGATTATTTTATATGCCAAATAAAAATTGGTATACGCAGCTTTTTAGTATAATAATTTCCCATAATTAATATAATTGGATTTTTCAAATCATGAAATATGTTGATTTTTATTTTTTAGAAATTGTTATGGTTCAGTAGCTTGATTTAATTATTGTTATTTAAAAAGAGTTTTTTTTTTTTTTTTTGCAAGGTATGATGGGAAAAAATTAAATGTTCGAGTGATAAAATCCAAAAAAAGAGTTGTTAACTAAATAGCAAAAATTAATTAAATAGTGTATATCGAATCTGTAGCATCTATAGCTAGGAATGGAATCTGTTTTATCGTTTTGTTTTAGTTCTAAGGAATGCTGTTCTGATAGTAAAATCAAGTTAAGTAGCATTCCATAAAACCTAAGTTTAGTAGCATTCCATAAAATTGTTAAGAACACAAGTGGAATCACAGCAATTATATAATATAATGAGTCTTTATTTATTCTATTCTGCTTTTTAATTTTCTTTTTTTTGTTTTTTTATTTTATTATAAGCAATTAATTTTTTTTATAAATTAATAAATTAATAATTTATTTGTTTATTTAATAATTTGATTTGTTTTTTTAAGCATATAATATTAACAGCAATTTTATATATTCTTTGTATTTTGCTTTTCTTCATTTTGTATAATCAGTTTATTAAATTAAATTTATATAAAAATTATATTTATTGATAGATTTATTAAACAATTTTGCTTATAAATTTTGATTCTAATAATGAAACCAAGATATAAAATACATTAAATATAATCTAAAGTAAAAAATAAAAAACTTGCAAAGTAATATATAATAAATTGTTTATTTCTTTATATACAGTAAATATTTTTTAAATATTTTTTTAATAGAAACATAATAATCAAATTAATAAAATTTATCAGTATAAACAAAAAATAAAAATATCATAATTTAATACAAATTGATCTTAAATTATTATTTTTTTTTGCCTTTAATCAAATTGCAATTTGTTGTGTTTATTAATTTTTTGTAAAAATAAAACAATAATACATTGAACCCTAAGGCTTTATACTAAAGCCAAACTGTACATATTGCAGAATACTTGTCAATAAGTTATTTTTAGATTTGTACATGATCCTTGAATCCTTAATACCAAGACCACTGTGTCACCCACATGATTTAGCTATTTACTAACTATTTTATTACAAGAAAGTTGGTTCATTAAGCTATTATTACATGATATTAACTATATTAGACTTTCTAAATTTTAACTTTCTAAGTATAATCATAGGAAATGATAAAATTACTTCTTTTTCAAGACCACTTCTTGACCTTAAGAAAAATTATAGCCAACCTATATTCAGGCTATCACCTTTATACAAACCTGTGGTCCTAAAAGATAAAAAATTTTATTTTATTTTTTAAAAAAAAAGGAAAGTGAAAAAAGTATATGAAGGGTTTGTTCTGGTAAATAAAAATCTTCCAATATCAACTTCAATTTATCAGAATAAATCCTTTATCACCACTTGCAGCTAGACAAACCATTTAATTTCCACTATTTTATTGTTGACCAAGAATATTCAAGGTACTCATTACAAAACTGACATACTGCTTGAAACAAGACTTACACCCATTGGGATTTATTGCTTAAGACAAGTCTTACACTAATACTTGCTACCTTCTCAGAATAATTAATAATAGAAAAAACTTTTTACTGAATTGAAATAAGACTTTTTTTGATTTTGAAGAGAAAAAAAACCAGTTCAAGAGAGAAGGAGAAACACCATAACTAAGGATGTGTCCCTAAATTATTTAATATATAAAACTTTGCAAATCAATTATATCTCTTTTGAAGGGACATAATTATTTATTCATTACTTTAATAGGAACATAATTCAAAAAACACTTGAATCAAATGGCCTAAATTGCAAAAAACCTTTGTAGGTAGTTTTTTTTTGACCTTATATTTTAAAAAAAAACTTTTTTAATAATAAAAGATATTTGAATTATGTTCTTATCTTTAATTTAGGAACCTATCTTTAACTATAAACCTTCTTAACAAAAAGGATATCTCAATGTCTTGTTCTTTTTACTATATTCAATTGTATTATTGAGTTTTATATTGTACAAAATAGGGCACATGGGAATTACGTATCTTTTTTATATTTCTTGCTATGTGTAAATCAACCAGTTCAAAATTCGAGCCAATTATCATTCAAGAATTATAGTGTAACTAAAAATTTAGGATCAAACTGAGATAGGCAAAATTCTTCAGAAAAATTAGAAAAAAAGTTTATACACTTAAAAAGATAGGAGAAAAGCTTAAGGAAGATAAGAGAAGAGTTTCAGAAATCTATGCCAGTCTTTCTAAAGTTTTGAATCTTTGGAAAAAGAGAGAAAAGTGTTTTTTTTATAGGTTTTTTTTTCTAACAAAGTTTTTTTGCCTTTAACTTTATAGATAAATATTTTTTATATTTATTTGCAAAAATACAAGAAGTTTATGTCAAAGAAAAAAAAAACAAGTAAAGAAAACTATGGCCTTTTGATATGAGTATTGTTAATGAAAGTGTATAGACTTTATTATAAAGAAATATAAAAATTTTCTTGAAACGTCTGTTTTTTGTGGCAAAGGAATTAGTAGAAAAAGTTCAATACAAATTGATCTTAATTTATATTATTTTAATAAAATAAATTTCTATTTATAATAAAGTTTTAATATTATTTAATTTTAATATTATTAACAAGATTATTTACAACTTTTTAATAATTAATTATGTTATAATTAAGTTAATAGATACAAAAAATTAAAATTATTTAATTAAAATTTTTAATTATATTCTTTAATTTTTTATAATTCCCTTTTTTTTTTTAATAAATAAATATCATTTCTTTATTTATAGTATTATACTGAAAAGTTATATAGTGAAAAAAACAATATTTCTTAAATACAAAACATATAATAAGTTAAATATTAGCTTGCCTACTTATTTATATTTAATTGATATCAAAAAATTTTTTAAAACAATATTATATATGCTAAATATAATTGAATAACAACTACTTATATCTACTTTTTTTTGGGGGGGTTTTCCCCATAGGTAAACATCATTTCTTTATTTGATATTGTATATAATATAGTATACATCGTGAAAGAAACAACATCTCTT